CTTTGCCAAGAAAACTCCAAATGGGATCACGAAGAGTCAGACACAATTGAAAAATGACCGAACAAGTTGTGTTGAGTGGATGGAAGCACATTCTTTTCAATAAGCTTACAATCTTGCTCTAAAGACACACATGAAAATGTACGTGTGGGTGTGGGTGTGGGTGTGTTTCTACCTGAGGTTAACAGTTAAGTACAAAATAAATAGTAGAAATTTTTTTAAAAAACAGTAGAGAAAGGAAAGATTGCTGTGAGTAGGGGAAGTAAAGAAAGGCTTCACAAAAGTTTAATCCAAGCTCACCTTTGAAGAATGAATAACACTTAAAGAAATGAAAAAAGTAGGAGAAGAGGTATATTCCAAGTAGAAGGAACAGCAAGGGCAAAGGTGCAGAGGCCAGAAAAGCAGAAAAGGTGTGTCCTGGAGATGGCTGAGTAGGAAAGTTTTGGCTGGGGCTAGCATGGAAAGTTTGTGGGAGATAAGACTGGAAAGGTAGATTCACGCAGGGCCTTGAACACCTGGCTAAGGATTTTGGACTTCATTCTACAGGCCATATGGAGCCATTTAAAGTTTGGGTTTGGGTTGTTTTGGTTTTTTTTTTTTAGCACAATCTACATAAAGGATAACAATAGAAAAGAAAGTGAGAAGATGAGAGAAAAGTGAAATGAGAGAAAAGGGTAAAAACATCAGGTATACAACAATAAATAACAATAAAGAACAGCTAAATCCAAGTAGCAAAAAAGCAGAGTCCAATGTTATAAATAATAAGAGCAAATAATTAGTTCTGACTCTTCCACTGACTGCTTAGGTGACCTCTGGCAAACCTCTAAAACTTTCCAAAACTCAGTTTCCCTAGCTATAAAATGGGGATAATTATACCTGCCTACCCTCTCTCCTAGGGCTGCAGAGGATAAGGTTAGCTAAGGACATATGAAAGTGCTTTGAAGAGCATATAAATCATCATACAAACACCAGGCAGGGTGATTGTTATCACAAACTTATCTCCTGAGACTCACCTCCTCTGGCTGAGCTTATCTGACTTCACAGGGTATCCAGCAACCTTGGGACTGCAGTCACTGAAAATAATCCACTTAGCCCCAGAATCCAGAGCAAAGCTGATGCTATTCGGTCAGTTTCCAAGTTCTTAGCTACCCTAATTTTAGCTGACTCAGGCTCTGAAATCTTCAGTATGAAAAAATAGAGATGGAGATAAGGATGAAGCTGTCACCTGGACCTATTATCAAGGCCATATGGAGCCATTTAAAGTTTGGGTTTTGGGTTATTTTCAGTGACTGCAGTCCCAAGGTTGATGCTCAGGGCATCAACAAAAAAAAAGTCCCAATTTGGGGCCCTTGCCATCAATGGTGGCAGCCAAACCAAACAGCATTTTAGCCAATTAATTTTTTTCTGATTTCATAAGCTGCTCATTAAGAACTGGGAGTGGATCACAAAAGGAAAGGAACAGCTGGAGACAATGTACAGGGGTGATCTTGGAAAGCAGGCAATTTCAGAATGGAAAGCCAGCATTCCAAAACTAATCCATGCTCCCAAGGCCAGTGCCTACCCTAATATGGCCACTGGCACTCCTTTGGACCTCACTCATAATCCTACAGGATCATATCAGCCTTGGTACTCACACTCATCAAGCCCCTCTACCCCTGGGACCTCTCTAAAAGGAAGGTAGAAAGTAGAGAGCTCCTCCCAAAACCTCCATTTAAGCAGGGTGCTCAGGCCAACCAACTCTTTATTTCCCACCCATCTGACCACTCCTTTGAATTTCTCCAACATGCCCCTACACCAGGTGGCTTCCCTCCCTTTTCTATGTTGTCTTTCCCATTAGATTGTAAGGTCCTTGAGGGCAGGGACTGTCTTTCTTTTTCATGTTTATATCCTCAGCACTTAGCATGATGCCTGGCACACAGTAGGTGCTTAATAAGTGTTTACTCACTGACTAACAATGGATCTGGGAAGATGGGGCCACTTAATCCCACATTTCTCCCAAAGATAGCATGGGAAAGTTAGTCAAATACTTTGCTGAAATCCAAGTATACTAAGTATACTTTGTATATATACTTTATGCATACTATTATACTGTGCATGATTCCCATGACCTGCAAAAAAAGAGATCAGGTTCATTTAGCATGACTCACTCTCAGATGATCGCTGCTTCCCTTTCTAAGAGCTCACGAACTATACCTTTTAATAATTTGCTCTAGGATTTCTCCAGGAATAGAATTTCAGCTCATTATCAATCAAATAAATCATTAAGCATTTACTAGGTACTTTATTATATGCCAGGTACTTCATGCTGAGAATACAAATAGCATCATCTACAGTTTGCATAATCCACCTTATTGGAGACTTTTCAGAAAATGAGGACATTTGTGCTATTCTAGTCCATCAGTATCTCTCTTATTCTCCAGTATCTTTCAAAGAAAACAGTCACATCTGTCAATTCCATAAGTGTACTAGGAAGGCATTCATCTGGGCCTGGAGATGTAATACACTAATGACATCTTACCAACATACGGCACTTGGACAGTGGCAGATAGAGGAATCTAGATAGAGTGCTAGGCCTGGAGTCAGGAAAACCTGAATTCAAATCTAGCCTCAGCCACTAACTAGCTATGTGACTCTGGTCAAGTGCCTTTACCTCTGTCTGCTTCAAATTCCTCAACTATAAAATGGGGATAATAATAGCACCTACTTCACAGGGTTGTTGCGAGGTTCAAATGAGATAATATTTACAGAAATGCTTAGCATGGCTCCTGGCACATAGTGGGAGCTTAATAAATGTTTCTTTGCTTCCCTTCCCTGCATTACCATATATTTTCCTTATGTTCTAGGTTCTGTCTGGGCTTTCAAGATGCCCAGGGAAAGGAGGAATAAATGAATACTGACTAAAATACATGGCCTCATCAGAGTAAAAATTCATCATTGTATTTTGAGAATGATCATTACACATGAATTTTATAATTTTTTAAAAAACTAATGCTACCTATTTCATTCTCTTTCAAGTGTTGGGGTGGCAAAGCTTCACTAGTGTCCAATTCAAGGCCAGCGTGAGTTAAAGAACCCCTTGGCCATACTCTTTTATATAACAAACCCTAGAATACTGGCCACCTTGCTGACAGTATTAAGAATGCAGTCGATGATAAATTATGGCTTGTTCAAGTGTCTTGAGTTTCCAACCGAAAGGAACTCCAAGTATTCACTAGAAGGAAAGGGTTGGTTGGTTGGTTATTGTCCTTCCTTCTTGAAGAGGACCAAAACATCACTATCTTGGGGTCAAGGTGCAATGGGTCTGGCTGCGACTGAGCAGACCATGATCTCAGTGGAAAATGATCTCAGAAGGCTCTACCATGGGTCAGGCACAAATAGTCAATGTGAACATTTGGAGTGAAGATGACTCTAAATTGGTGCATCCCATGCTTCCTTTGAACTACTGCAATTCTGCTTTACTCAAGAGCACAGCACATTCTTTGATGTAAGCACACCATGCTGAGCAATCCTGTGCCAGTGTCTCCCAAATCTGCCAAGTGATTCCACAGTTCTGCAGAGAGACCTTAAGAGTGTCCTTGTATCACTTCTTCTGACCTCAATGTGGCCTTCATGATCTCCACGAGTAGGAAAGATTGGGAGGCAGGAGAAACAGCAATCATTCAGTTTTCACTGAACAGCTCACTGACATCTGATGAACAATGAATGGCAGGAAGGAAGGACAGCATCATGTCAAATGTGGAGGATCAGAAAATAGCACCATAGGCTATTAGGGATTGTGAAGGACCTTCTAACATTTTGGCAACTAAAAATATTGATTCTTTGAAAAAGCAGAAAGGAATAGCGATTTCACTGAGTATTCTTTGTGAAACCCTGAATACATTCCTCCAAGTTCCCTGGAACCTTGAAAAAACAAGTCCAGGAGAAAAAAAAAAAGACCTCAGTATCCCAAGAAAATGATGAAGTGAGAGCCTGCCCCTTCAATATTCTCCTCAAAAATAGCAATAGAAACACCACCAAAGAAGCAAAACTGTCAGAAAGTCCTGAAAGAAAATTAGGAAACACTCAAAAGAAGGAAGGGGAAAAAAGACTCCAACAAAATGAAGAGAAGACAGAACATTTTTACTGGGGATCTTTGGTTGTATAGTCATGTCTCTATGCACACACACTGCTTAGATACAACACATCTTGGGGGACCAAAAAATGAATCTTTGGTAAGGCAAAATCCTGACTGCGCTTGTGGTATACCACATTTGTCTGTTCTCAACATGGGTGGCAGCGGCAGAGGCAGCAGTGAAATATTGGCTGCCAAACACTGGCTGGAAATGGAGGGAGGAGGGGAGCATGTGTGAAATTAGGGACTTTTATCAGGCAGCATGAAATAAATGGATTGAAAATTGAGAATCATGTCTTTTTATTCGCTTGCTTAACACTCAATTAAATATCTGTCCATAAGTGAAATTCATATCAATGGAATGGCTTTAAGGTAGGATCTACAAAAATGAAACTCACATCTTTTGCCACATTCAAGTTACAAAATGTTCTTAAAGACTGAATATAAACCTGCCTTGATCCCATGACCAATCTTGGTTCCTAAGAAGGTTTCTCCTCTAAGAAAAGGTGCTCTTTGAATGAACACATCTCTTAAAATGGGATAAGTCTAGTGTGAATTCTTCCACTACTACAAAGGACATTCGAAGAATTTCGTAGCTATACTGACAAATTGTAGCCTAACCCTTAAGCAATGTCTCTTTTTCTTTGGGCCATTGAATCAAAAAGTAATTGAGAGAATGTGAATGCTACAATGTAAACCTCTATTTTAACCAAGTCCAAATATCTACCAACAGATAGTGATTCATTTGTCACTGAAGTTATCTTCCCTGGAACCTCATGATGGCACGTACATTATGTACAAGTGAAAAGCCAAGAGTGTTGAACCTCCAATCCTAGCAGAAAACACCCTATTCCACATCTCCAGCATGACCCCTGATCTTCACAGCACTTACCCGTATCCTTCTCATGGCAGCTACAATCTCCACCCTGCTGTTCGGTCTTGGCACATCCAGGCTTCCAATATACTGCAATGAAGAAGAACACATACGTTAAGAGAAAGTGTTGGCAATTACCAAAGGAACCCAGAAGGAATCAGATTCAGAGCTGGAAGAAATCATAGACTGAGCAATAGGCTTGACCCAGGAGGGTAGCATTAAGAATGATAGATGGAAAATGCAAAGAGATAGTCATATAAGGAAAAAAACCTAACAATTTAGCACTGCTCCAAAGGAGAATGGGCTTCCTAATGGTGTTCCTTCTTATTAGAAGCCCCCAAGCAAAGGCTATATGACTACTAGTCAAGAACATCACAGAAGGGATTCTCAGCCAGGTGCAGTTTGGATTAGATGGCCTGATTCTTGTTACAGTGGAAAGAACAATAGCTCTGAAGTCTAAGCGCCTGGGTTCAAAATCCCATCCCTGGTGTTGACAATCCATGTAACCTTGAGAAACTAAGTCTCCTAATTCTTCTGGGCCTCAGTTTTCTCATCTGTAAAATGGGGAGGGGAAGATTGACTTGTTGGGGTCGTTCAGTTGTGTCCGACTCTTTGTGACCAGGATACCTGGCAGACACTGCGGTGGTTTGCCATTTCCTTCTCCAGTTCATTTTACAGATGAGGAAACTGAGGCAAACAGGGTTAAGTGACTTGCCCAGGGTCACATAGCTAGTAAAGGCTGGATTTGAACTCAGGTCTTCCTGACTCCAGGTCAGGTACTTTATCCACTGTGTCACCTAGCTGCCCTTGACTAGATGGCCTTGACTAGAAGTTGTCCTCCAGCTCAAAATCTATGACTCCATGATTGTAATGCAACCGCTTAGTTCACAGAAGAAGACAGGGAAGTCCACAGACTAACCCAAGATCCCCAGGACTCAGTTTTAAGATTCCAACCCTAAATCTACAACTCTTTTTGCATCTTAGGGATGATTTATGTCAACTAATCCATTTTACAGATTAGGAAATAGAGGTCCTGGGAATTGTTTAAAGATGGCAATTTATCAAGGTATAATCAAAGCCTGTCCTACACACTTTGTTGCACACCACAAATGTTTATATTTATGGAGTTGTTAAAATGAATAGAACTCCCTGAGGCTTCACCTCATATTCAGCAAATTGGCTAAATTGACAGAAGACAAGAATAGTCAATGTTGGAATGGTTGTGGAAAGATAGGTACAGTTTGCACATTGGGGGTAGAGCTGTGAATAAAATGTCTGTACCCTTTGACCCAGAGATCCAACTGCTAGGCATATATCCCAAGAAGGTCATTGATAAAAAGTCCCCACATACACCAAAACATTCATAGAGCACTTTTTTGTGATAGCCAAGAACTGGAAACAATGTGCATCAACTAGGGAAAGGCTAAACAAATTATGGCACATGAATATAACAAAATATTACTGTGCTATTAAGAAAGGGTGAATTTTATGAATAACAGAGAAGCAGGGGAAAATTTACACAAACTAATGCAAAATGAAGTAAGCAGTGTCAAGAAAAAAGTAAACACAATGACTCCAACAATGTAAATGGAAAAAACTACCACAAAACAATCAAAAATAAATGTTGTGAAAATACAAAAGAACAAGCTTGGCCCCCAAAAAGAGATATAAGACTCATTCCTTGTTGTACGTACCCATGTAGTCTCTCTATCCCAATAAACAAAGGGGAAACTCAAATCCCCTGAGTCACTTTGTCAGAGGATGACCAGAAGGAACAGCCAAAGGCAGGGAAATTGAATATCAACTAGCTTCCAATTCCATCGGAGTCTTCCTCTGCCCCTTCCCCACAAGTAGCATGAATTAATGCCAGTTGCCAGATCCAGAATCAATTAGGATTGATGCAGCCTATGAAGAAGGGTCAGCTAGGTGCAGCAGTGGATAGAGCAAGCCGGGAGGCAGGCAGACTCATCTTCCAGATGAATCTGGCCTCAGACATTTACTAGCTGTGGGATCCTGGGCAAGTCACTTAACCCTTTTACTTCAGTTTTCTCATCTGCAAAATAAGTTGGAGAAAGAAATGGCAAACCACTCCAGTCTCTCTGCCAAGAAAACCTCAAAGAGAGTCATGAAGAGTCAGATATGACTGGAAAAAAGATCAAACGGCAACAAAAAAATGAAGAAGATGAAGGTCCAGGTTCCTCACTCCCTTCCCCCAATGCCTGCTTCTACTCAACCTAGATAAGAATCCTATTAAAAAACAACCACAACAACAACAAAACCAACCACTACTGTCCTCAGGGAAGATGCCCCAAATTCCATCTGGAACCCCAGCAGTATTCCAAATCTCACCTGGGCCCCAGCAAACCTAATCTATTTCTACCATTCTCTGTGACTGCCTTTCAAATTGTATGTCCCCTTAATAAGGCAGGTTTGATTATTGTCTTGTGTGCTCCATGTTTCTTTGTACTAGACTATTGGTGTAGGGGAAGGGGAAAGCCAACAGGCTTGGGGGGGGGGGGAATTCTTTTTTTTTCTCTTAAAAATTATTTATTGTATGAGATGACTTTCTGGAAGAGAGGAAGGAGAGAAGTAGAGGAAAAATTTTAGGTGATACAAAAACAAAAAATGTCGATATAAATTTATTTTAAAAAATAAAATGAATAAAACTATGTGGAATTGTATCTTGATTCTTAGGCATCAGGAAATTTGAACATTATGCTGCCTATGGGTAGGGAAAATAGACTAGAAGACCTGTTAAGAATTAGTTAGGATTGATGCAGCCTCTGAAGAAGATGCAGCATAGCTTGAGGGAACTGGCTTTTATTTTGAGAGACATAGTTTATGTTAAATAACCTGGGGACATGGCCTAGAGATAGCAAGCCTCCAAGATAAATATAAGCACCTCTATGCAACTTCTTACACCACAAAAGGAGGAAGCCACATCTCAGTGAAGGATGACTTTATAGTCATCCCAACACTAGCGTGTCCTTTCTAAAATACTAACTTGGGGCTGGCCCACAGCTAGACAGAAAAGATCTCACAGTATAAACACTATATGATAAAGTGTAGTGTCCTGACAAGAACCGGACTTGGAATCAAAACATCACCTGGTTTTAAAGCTATTAACTCTGTATGACCTCAGACAAGTCACTTAACCTCTCTAGGCTCCAGTCTGCTCATTTGTAAAACAAAGGAATGGGCTGGAACCAATTATATTGAATACAGTTATCAACATATTTAAAACACACACACACACACATTCTCAAGACCCCCCAGTTAAGAACCCTGGGGCTTGAGGAGACCTTTCAGCTCTTGCAATCTATCATTCTCTGAATATTGATCAGTCATTTGGACCAGGGCACTGATTTGCATTCAATTCAACAAGGATATATTAAGTAACTAATGGGCTGAGCACTATATTAGGTACTGAGAATACAAAGACAAAAGAAAAAGAGATGAGCCATATAAGCATCTACCATTTTTTCACTTTCAACCCAGATTAGGAGGGTCTACAGCCATGTGTGGCAAATGTCTATCTGGGAAAGCAGCCTAGGAGGCTAAGCTGTTACCAGGTCCTCCAGAAATAAACAACTTTGTCTCAAATCAAATCAATATGAAGCATGTGTTAATTTCTCAGCTGACAGAGTATTCCAGACTCACAGAATCAGAAGGCATCTTAGAAGTCATCTGGTCCAACTCATGCCAGAATAGGAATTCTCTTGACAAATACTGATTATAGTCATTCTTTCATTGACTCCAGAAACAGGGAACTCACTACCTTAGGAGGCAAACCTGTACACTTTTTGGATAGGAAATTATCTCTTATCTGAAGTCAAAATGTGCCTTTCTGTAATTACTCCTACTTCTATTCTCTGGAGCCTAGCAAAACAGGACAACCATTCAGTTATTTAAAGACAGTTACCAGATACTCCTCTCATCCCTAATCTTGTTTTCTCTAGACTTAAACATTCCCAGTACCTTCAACCACTTACTTTGGAGCATAGCTTGGTGTCCCCTCACACCCTGATTGTGCTCCTGAGTACAAAATTGGGATATAAAGCAATGGGAAGTACTGAATCTATCAGACCTATTTCCTGATGGTGTTTCTCCCTTCTGAATACCAATGGGGGTTACGAAATCTGTCAATATTTCGATGACCCATAACACAGTTGGGTTGACCTGATTCCAGGAAGGAAGCAAGGCCTTTAGCCAAGTTTCATAAGATTTACAGTGACTGAGCTACATAGATCCCTCTAGCCCTGGGACATTCTCCCACTCTTTCCCTTGGACAGCCACATACCTGGTGGCCATTCTCCATGGCTACTTGGTCATTAGGAGTTCATATTTCCTCATCAGTGGCATCTTGTCTCCAAAAAGCAATATCATGAATAAACAATCCCAAGAAGCAGGTGGAGGGCCTCAGGGGAAAAAAAAAACAACCCTGGAAGACTGAGTGGGAGATCTCAGTTGGTCAGTGAAAAGTGAAGAAGTATGTTTCTGAACACATCAGAGAGGAATTCTCCATAAACTGGGAATTTCACTTAATTTCTCCCACCAAAATCCATATCTTCCTTCCCATGAAGTGCTACTACTGCTTTACACAGAAGACCCTCAAAGGTATTTATAGGGAGCACACCAAAGGTAGAGAAAAAAAAAAACTTTTCAGCATTGGCCAGGTCTCTCCCAATGAGATACATACAGGAATTTAGGTGCTAAAGAGAAGACAGAAGACACATATATAAAACCCTAGCAGCCTATGAGATTAACTGGCCTTCTCTCCATCACTTGAACACACACAAACACACCCATACCCATGCAGACACACCAATACCAACTCCTTTTCCAAAGGATAATTCTGCCAGGCACTGTAAAAGAGAACAGAGCCAATATTAAGAAATTTGCAAGAGATGGGGGGAACAACTTACTAGACGGAGGGAGGGTGGGAACACCAGGAGGCTTCTATGCTACCAAAGGATGCTGCTGCTAGAAAGATCAGATGGGCCCCCCTGCCCTCTACCTTTCAACACACTAGAGCAAAGCCCTGATCATCTGGCCCTAGTCACATTTGTGAAGGAAAGTACTAATCTGGT